AAGAAATCTAAGCGTAAAAAACACGAATCAAAGCAAGACGGCACACAAAACATCAAAAAACAAAGAGGAAAACATATTGAGACTGAAATTATCGATCGGAAGCTACCGACTGCACGCCAAGTACGCGTCATGCGCCAGTGCGCGTATTGACGCTCTTCACTCTCTCCGCACGGTCCGCACGGACCGCACGGCGCAAAGTATGAAAGCAGCCTTTTACGTGTGAAGAGGGAATGGGTGGTGATCTGCATTTCACCTTGGGACTTACTTTCCATATTCGCAACTACTCTCGACACTTTTTTTAATGGCTATTTGAATTCCCGCGTTCCTCCGTTGTTCTATTTTCGGTTGCGGAAGAGTGCTACCAAATTCTCGTGATCAATGTCCACTCTGGCTCGATTCAGGCTTCACTAACTTACTTCTGTGTCCACGGCAATCATGAATTTTTTATTAACGATAATAGAGAATCATCTTTGATCGTTATACTCTCAAATTATAAACGCTATATATCAAGAACACTATATATTATTAGAAGGTATGAGAGCTCTCCTGAAAGGATCTACTCGTTGTATGATCCGTAAGCAATCAGCTAACAGGTATAGGACAATCTTGAGGTGCAGCGGTAACAGCAGCAACAACCGAGCTGAAGGATTCCATGATTTTTTGCGCGATCATCGCCAGTGTCGTGAGCACAGTGAAGCCGAAACCTGAAAAAAATGGGTAATTATTTTGCATTGTTATCCACCAGAACTAGAGCTTAACAGGACCCGTCTATACTCAATTTTGAGTACGAACATGATTTAGGCTCTTTTTTGTTGTGTTCGTAGCGTTCGTTGTAGGTCAAAATCTTACCTTCAGGTCAAGTTCACTGCTGTTGGAAACTTGCGACCGTATGTCCTCCTTGGTCTCGTTGTTCATCGTCTGCACGGATAATGCGACATCTCTGAGCATTTGTAGTCTCTTCGCAGCCGATTCTGCAGGGGTCTCACCTTCCAAAGAAACCGCTTTGTCGCGCCACTGAATATCAAGACGGAATTGGCAGTTTTGGCGGAGAAGAATAGCTCAAAAGGAAGTCAAAGGAATCTTTCGCGAAAAAAATCATGCTTTTATTTTGCTTTTGGGCCATAAATCACTGACTT